GAGAGGGCACAGAGGGATGGAGGGACAGCAAGTAGTGAACACAGAGAACGACAGCCCAGAGAATGAAGTGGGGGCCCAGAGAGTACTGGGGGGAGTCGCAGAGAGGATATAAAGAGAGTGTGGGTACAGGGGGTGAGGGGAGAGTTCAGAAAATTTGGTGGGTACCCAAAGCTGAAGGTACAGAGAGAGCAAGGATAGTGGGGGCCCCAGAGAATGGGGGTGCAGTCACAGAAAGCATAGCGGATAGAGGACAGGACTATGCTGCAGGTATGGAGAGGAGGCCAGAGGCACAAAGAGGAAGATGGGAGGGTACATGGGAGAGTGAACGACAGGGCCCTGAAGACTCTAAAAGGGGACAAGGCGCTCATTGTCAAAGCTTTGGTGACTTTTCCAAGATTTGATGGCCCAAGGTAGCATAGGACTGGCTGTGGAGATTGAAGCGCCGTAAGGTCAACTGTAGGCAGATGACCAGAGCCTGGATTTAACTCCTTTCCCAGTGCCTTCTCGGAGCAGTCACTAACCACAGGGCCAGAGAAAGCCAACCACAGGCCAAGCGGGGCCTGAGAGAAGTGACCGAGGTTAGCCATCAAAGGAATGGCTCCAGCTGATAATGGCCATGCCAAGTCTTGCAAAGAAAGTATTTCAAAGCTCCCTAAAAGGAATAGGGGCACCCCTTGGCTGTGGCTCCTCTGCCTTCTTCCTTTCCTGCTCTAAGAGCGAGGCTGCTTGGCCAGCAGGGTGCATTTGGATGGGAGATAACAGCTAGTCTGTGCAGGCCCCAGACTGAAGGCCTGGAGGCTCTGAGAACTGAGCACTTCTCCCAGAGGGCGGCCACTTGGGGCTCCTTGCACCCTTCCCTTGGCCTCACTCTATCCCCTTGCTACTCTGCTGGTTGCACTTTACTTCCTCTGGGGGGCGGGGGTTGGGCCTTGCTCCCTCTGCTTGATGAGATGGGGATTCCAAGATCCAGCGTCTCTCAGAAAGCCAGGGGAGGCAAAGCTAAGTGGACTGGCAAGGGTGCCCCTGAGAGCCAGGACACCTGGCTTCTGGCCCCTGTCCTGTCACCAGCTTGGGCAAATCCTTTCTCCTTTATGGGCATCACTTCCATTCTCTATACCATGAGGGGGTGGGATGAGATCATTTCCAAGATCTAATGTTCTCCAGCCCAAGGTCCCTTCTAGGCTAGGGCTGACATGTCATATATTATAGTCTCTCATGTTATGCCATCGTATAGCCCAAGGTCCCTCTCAAGTTGGAGCTTTGAAGTGCTAGGGGCCTTTCCGACTGTGACGTCCTGTGTCCACGGGGCCCCAAAGGTGCCATGCTGGCTTGGCTTGGCTTGGCTAACAACAGTTCTCTCAGAAAAGTCTCTTCCCCATTACCTTGCAGCTCACGGTCCCCTATTTAACCTCATTCAGGAAGTTGTTCCTGCCCTCTCCATCCGTCCCCTCGTCCCACGCATACCCTTTTATTTTGCTTTGTCTCCTTTCTATTTCTGCAGGAGGATGGCATGAGCGACAGACAGCCGTTACGTTAGATACATACATTATATATGTGGGAAGGGGGAAAGGGGGAGGCAGCAGATGCTTTCTGAAGCACTTGGGGTCTGCTGACTGTGCGGAAAAGAACCCAGGGGACCCTCAAAAGAAAGCCGAGCAGGCCAGCAGTGGCCTGGCTGGGCACAAGGGCCCTGTCGGTTTGGTTTTCAAAACCTTCTGAAGATGATCACAAGTACAGGAGGGGGCACAGTGCCCAGCTGCTTATAGCTTCAAACCTACAAGAGAAGCCCCAGAGATGGGGCCGTGTTCATCCCCGAAGGGTCCCAACTTGCTGGATGACTTCCTCTCTCTGGGCCTCAGTTTCCTCAACTGTGAATGAAGGAGTTGGACTGGCTGACCTCTTGCGTTCCCTCCATATACGAAGAAAAGCCCCTGGATGGATGCATTCTACCAGCTAGCATTTATCCAGTGTTTTTGAAACTACTGATTAGGGAAATTGGTCTTTGGTTCTCTATTTCGTTGTTATCTCTGCCAGATTTTAAGATGAATGTTGTCTTAGCCTCATAAAGGGTAGTATGACACCTTTATAATTATGAATAAGCTAAACAAAATGGGGATTATTTATTCTTGGAAAGTTTGAAAGAATTCAGCAGCTATGCTGTCTGGGCTGAGGAAACCTTGGCAGCTGCTAAGGCAGCTGAGTCTAGGAGGCCAAGCTCACTTAGGAATTCGTTGATTATACCCCTTAGGGACTGAATAAGCTGAGAAAAGGCCAATGAGTGGGTCCTTTGGGGCATACCCTAGGTATAGACCTGGGGAGCCCAGCTGGCTATGCAGAGAGGGCCAGGAATGCCCTGACCTTTCCCTTCTGGCTGGCCTGCCACTGAACAGAAGGCAGTGGGCCTCCCAAGGGACGTGAGCCTGTTCCTGCCCTCCAGAGGGCCTAACGGTAACAGCAGGTAAGTGGCACACAAGCAAAGCTTCTGTCTGCTTGGATGCTGTATCAGTGGCTCCATGGAGCTGGTTAAGGCAAGCTGCTTGTTCTGAAGCTAAAGAGTTCCAGGAGATGAGCCTGGGCCTGTGGTTTGGGAGCCTTGGGCTCCATTCTAGTAAAAAGAAATGTCAGGATTCTGGTGGGAGCCCGGCAGAGGCTGAGCAGGAGATGGGCAATGGTAAGTGGCAAAAGCCCTGGATTGAGACTCTGGGGGGCTGGGGCTGGGGCTGGGGCTTTAGGCCTTTGAGGTGTGACTGGATAACAGGGGTACTAGAGTCCAGCCCACTTCTTCCAAAGAATTGACAACGAGCTCCTAAGAAGAAGGCAAGGGGAGTGGCCAGGGAGTCCTTCTAACTGCCCAGAAGAAAATAGAGAAGGGCAAGGAAGCAAAGAGACCCCTGGCCTTTCCGCTGCCCTAAGGATCAACCGAACAAGAGTGGAGGGCACATCCGTCATGCATTGCCTTGGCTCCAGGAGCAGGGCCAGTCTTGAGCTTGACTTGGGTAATTTCGAGTCAGAGGTTTGGGGTTCAAATGTTGACTCTGCTGCCTACTCCCTATGTGATGTTGGACAAATGATTTCCTCCCTTTGGGCCTCAGTTTTCTCATATGCAAATGAGAGGGTTGGATGAAATGAGGCTAAGGTCCCTTTCAGCTCTGATGTTCTATGATCCTAAGATCTGAGTGACCCCCACCCGCAGCACTGTGTGTCCCATCATGTGTCCACGTCAGTGGTCAGTAACTCAGGCTGACATAGATGCTTGATGGTGACACGCAAACACACACACACACACACACACACACACACACACACACACACACACA